ATGTTCATTGTAGGTTAATTCGTCAAAGTTTTTTTCTCAGCCTGCCTTAATTTTTGAAAAAGGTTCACCAGAAGGTTCCTTTAGGGAAAATAAAATGAATCACGAAATTTTGCAACTGTCGTCGGATTCTCGATATTTATAGCCTGTGGCTCTTAAGACGTAGAAAGCCCCCCTTTTTCTCAGCTGAAAAGCAGTGTTTGTTTATCTTATAGGTTGTTTTGATGTGTTAACGATAAAGTTCACCGCTGTAAGACGGATTGGGTATTACGTCATACGTATCTATCTCCCTTGTGTTCTCTGCACGATTGTATCGTGGATGGCATTTTGGATGGACCCCGCCTACATCGGAGACCGAAGTGCGATTGGTATCACCTCTCTTCTCACTCAGATTTTCCTGGTCGGAAGCATTAGTGAGGCTATGCCGCGTGTCAGTTATGTGAATGCTGCTGACTTGTTCTTGATTGTTTCGTTTTCGTTTACGTTCTTAGCGCTGTTTGAAACTGCTGCCGTGTACAGGAAAGCAAAGTCCATGTGTAGGACAGAGAATGTAATTCCCTCTCAGGAAGAAAAGGCAAGATCATTATTTCTCACTTCAATGGAACAATAAACCTTTACTCATTGACAGCCAACTATAAATAATGACTTCTTCGCATCCCAGCCGAAAGCTTCAGTCATTTTCTTGAATCCACCTTTGTTTTGTTTACCATCTTGTGCAGTCCGCGACCACCTTAGGTGTGATTCTCCTTATGATATTAACTCCTTCATACTCGAGGCTAAGTTAGCTGTTCGTTGGTCAAGTTCTCCTTCTTATTATTCTTCTTTTTTTTTTTTTTTTTTTTTTTTCACCATAATTAAGAAAAGAACATGCGGTAGCCAAAAAGTTAATATCCTTGCTCTGGGTCGAGAGGTCCAGCTAGGAGAAAAATTGGGTGCCAATGAGCTGTCAGAGAAAGTTGATCCTTCCTCAATATACGATATTTTGCTCCCACAAAAACACATTTTCGTGGGAGTAAAACATAATACATGGGCCCATCTTAACTGCTCGATCAGCAAGCCATTTTTTTTAACTTGCCTGCAAAGTGCTTAGCAAGCTACATAATAAGACCGAACGCTAGTATCGAAAACTATTATCACTTATGTTAATTGTTCTTACCACCAGCTTTAAAACTTACCATTTAATTTTCCTTATCACCATTTTCTAAATATTAAATCCTTGCAGAAAAATGACATAACAAATGCCGAAAGCTTCGAGAGTAATCAAGACGAGAGTGCATCGTCCAATGGGGCGACAGCATTTCGAAATCATGAGAAATTTTCACCACATGACGATCGCCTAAAGGTGAAATTATGCACGAATTTCTTTGGAAAGATGAAAGGTTTGGATAACCAGTTAGACAGAATAGCAAGAGGACTTTTTCCTGTTGGGTATACTGTGTTCATCACTGCATACTTCCTGATATTTCTCATTGATCTTTGAATTCATTTTTATGAAATATGGATGGTAATATCTTTACTACCTTGATGCAATTCTTTAGAAAAGTTTAATGCCAGTTGCTATGGACTATCCAGTTTATGCTGTACTTATTTTTTGTTGATGGATCTAGTTTACCATAGTTTTTCTTTTATCATCTTTCGAGCATCTACTCTCTATCTGTAAAACAATGTCGTTTGGAATGTGATTCTAGAAATTACCATGCAATATACTCAGTCTCATAACTGCTGGGTATTTAAACCAATCATTGCATTCTGATGTCTACATTTAAAATGTATCTCGAAAAGAACAGTGTCTAAATTAAACTGTACATTTTACTTCGACTATCGGCTATATCTTATGGTGGATTTTAATGTTTATGAAAATCTAATTTAGCTAAGCATAACAATGTTTTAATAAACTATTGTTACTGTTGTTGCTTAACCTGTTAAGCACTGCCCCAGGAAAACCGGAGGAACTACAATCTCCAAGGAACTACTGTCGAAAGTCAGATTTAGCACTTGATTCTTGAAGCTAGACAAAGTGACATTTTGCACGTTTTTTGCACTATAAGATAAGACTTCAGATACATTGTAATTAGAACCTCGTTGTCGTTTTCGTCGCGTCATGGACTGGAGTCTAATGTAGTTTCAGGGGGGCTCGAACCCCGCGCTTTTCATTAAACCATGGGAATTTGGACCGGCCATGTTGTGTTGTTGACTTTGTAGTTTCTCCTTAACCGAACTCACTCGCTTTTCTAACTGACAACTACCTTTACTAAACTGTCCAGACAAAGAAATGGGAGGGGGTCTCTTCACGCTCGATAGGGTGAGTGTGTGTCTATGGTGGGGGGGGGGAGGGCTACCTTAAAGCAACTGTCCCAAACGTTTTTGTGTGCGGGTTGTACCTTGGCGTAAAAAGACGAACCGTTTATCTGTTGCGAGCATTTATTCCTAGAGAAGTGCACGTGGGCAAAGACACAGAAATTTGGTCAAACGTTTGTGATATTTCGATATCACAACCGAAGATTTGCAAATGAGATGTAATGTAGGGAAAACATCGTATTGCTGTGATCGATCATCATCCGAACGGTTACAAAGGATCTAATTCAAACATTTTCAGTGGATAAATAGCATAATAGGATTTGATTCCTGCTTTTCAGTCTTGGAAAGATTACCAACATGAGTCCTCGGAGCACACTTGGTTTAATTGCCCAACCCACCTGTCGAAACATCAATGCTTTTTGTTTCAGTTTTTCCTTTTTTGAATTCAGTTTGTTGACAAGGATCCACTCTGCTTACCTCGAAAATTACGAACAGTTTCAATGGATACAATGATATTTTCTTTTAAAAAATTAATAACCCTCTGGAAATTACGGGTGGATAACAGATTGGAAAAAGACTGGTTCCAGATACTACAACTTAATGCCTATTATTAAATTATTAAATTTANGTGATGTAATTTGCCGTGTTCCGCTCTGGACGCACTTCGCGTTCATGGTTTATCTCTATTACAGGGCTTGCCGCGCAGAGTGGCATCGCTGTCTTCGAATGAAATATCTCGTTCATAGCCTATATAGATCAATTAATATCATAAATTTTAATAAACATTTGATAAATACGAAGTTCGAATTTCGGTGGACAGTCACGTCTTTGCATTCTAATGAGTGGAAAGAACACCTCCACTTTGACAAACTGTCGAAGAACTATTTAGACAGATTTCCAGAATACTTAACTACAAGTTACAATAAACCAACGAACAACGAATGGTGAATGAAAGTTTGGAAAATTATACAGTTTTTGTGTTTTTTAGATATTTCCTACAGGTGTTGAATAGTTGAGAAAAATTGATTAGAATAGTCGACTCACCATGCGCCGATCCCTCGATGAAGTACTTGAGGTTTTCTCGTCATTACCGCGGCTTTCCCTCAAACTTTTCCAGATAATTGGTACTGATCCTGGTATCAATCTTCCCAATGCCCCTTTTAGATGGCATTTCCTTGAAAAACACGATTCTAAAAAATGCTCAGAGCAAATAACAAACCGGCCTTCGTGATCGAAGTTTTTTCTGTGGAGTCTGACAAAGTTCTTCCACTTCGCGGCAAGGTTTTTGTTAACGGGGGAGTTGTGTAGAGAGATTCCATCTTGTGGATTTGATCTATTGCTGCATCCCTGCACAGCGCATCGAGACGAAGGCATTATGATATGCCAGCTTTAAAATTAGAATCTTACTAAGATTCGAACTTTTCACGTTTCTTACTCGTATAAAAACCATCATATAAAACCATCGAAACAACACTCATGGCTTTGACAACTTTATGTCTTGGTTGATTGGATGACGTCACTCCCGGTCTCCCCATACTTCCTCGGCCAGGTTCAGTACATTCCAATCGGATTCAACAGCCTCGAGAAAGATCGCCCAAAAAATACTGCTTACCGTAGGAATTTAAACTCAAAAATCGATACACTCATTTCTTAACGTTTTGAGATCCCAAACACAAAATTTCATTGTGATCGGAGAAACTGACGTTTATCGTCACAGTCCCTCTTTAAAGATTCAAGCGAAATAAATTTGCATAGACAGACAGACAGACAGACATCTATATTTATACAGGATAGCCCCTTCAGTGTAGTAAACACTGGTATCAACGGGGGTCCTGTTACCCACCCAACCCACCCCAGGGGAGGACATCCATCACACAGTAATCTCGTGCGTGGGAAATTAACGTCTCCTGCCCCTAACCCTGCAGGAGACGGGACCTCCATTTATTCGTCCCTATCCGAGAAGACTAGAATATCTAACCAATTCTTGATGTTAAAGAAAGGAAGCATATTCTTCTCAGTTAATTTTAAGACCCTGAGTGTTGGTCCGGCCGGTATTGAACTCTCGACCTCCCGCACAGCAGTCCGGCGCTCTCCCAATTGAGCTAACCAGGCGGTTAGCTCAATACAGACGTCCTCTAACGGATACACGGATACAGACGTCCTCTAACGGACCGTTTAACCCGCAACAGCAAACTGGCTTCATTCATTGACCATTTCTTGAAATTTCTCAAAGCTTTACCTGAAGTATTAAAAGGACTTGAAACAGATTTGGATCACATTTTGAAAAATAAACGAACGAATGGAGTAGTCTTCGGAAGAATTAAGAGCCTGGAATCTTTGTGGAACAAGATGAAACACACGAAGACAACGGACTATAGGGAAATCGCAGACGTTGTTGGCTGTCGTGTAACTCTCCCGATGCTAAGTGATATTTCCAAGTTTAAGAATCTCTACCTACGCGCTTTTAACAAATCTGTCACCGAGATTAGATGTTATGGCGTTTGTGGACCAATATTAGAAAGCTCAGACCCAAGAGTGAAAATTTACTGGCCATGGAGAGGATCAGAATATCGACGTCTCCATTTTTAAGGTAGCAGTTAACGTTCCTAAGCGGAAATCAGTGGCAGAAATTCAAGTGGGAACGCCTTACATGACTCTCTGGGCAGACTGGGAGCACACAATTGTGTACAAGGGTCCTAAAGACCTCCAGAAACACAATGATGTCAAGGAATATGCACAACTTTTAGCCGAATACTATTCGATGCTTGATAATATAAGGGATCGAAATATGCCTAAATGCCCTAAGATTCTAAGAAAGACGAAAGCCAAAGAGATTTTTAGCCACCACGAGCTGAAAAAGTTTGGCTATCCCCTCGATGCATGTCATGTTTGGAGCGATTAAGTCTAAATATAGTGTACGGCAAGACGCTTCCGTTTGTGTTGTCTGACGTATTCAAGCGTAAATGTAGTAGCACAACTTACTTGACGTGATTGGATTCAGAACACATTCACACAAACGAGCCGGGTCATCACTTACTTACTTTTAAATTCCTTCTTTGCCATAATCATTTATCAGGTATTCCTTAGTTTCAGCCACTGAAGCAAAATAAATGATTGCTAAGATTTCCGTTTGAACTTAAGTCGACTAAATACGGCTTTATTTAATTCGAATCAGTGACTTTGAAATTCATTTATTGCCATAATCACTTTTTTAGTTAATCTTTAAACCACGATACTTCACCGAAAAGGAGTAATTGCTAAGATTTCTGATCTGTTTGAAACTCGACCTAAATACAGTTTTAATGGATCATTTCATCATTTCCCCTTTGTCGGTGCTCTAGTTAGTGTTTTAATGAAAAAAGGATTTTGCGT